TCAGAAATTTAGTAAACTAAGCTAGTGCATGCATTCAGTACCCTGTTCTATCCTATCCAATCAACAGTCACAGTATAAGTAAGCAGGCTGAAATAATGCGTCAAAATTCTTCTAGTCACTTTGCATTGGCCCGTGTGGTTAAGGGTCGATGGAACTCACAGGAGCAATTGCAATTTGTTCACGCAATGAAGTATTCTAGCGAGGACACTCTACTTTCTCACTCAGCTTTCTGCGCAATTCATCCAAGTAACCTGCAGAATCACAAAATAACGGGCTTATGGACAATGTTTCAAAAAAACATGCACAAAACGGGTAGGTGGAATATAAAAACAGAAGACAAAACTGCTGCCATTTTCCAACTTAATAATTACATTAGCCTGCCAAGTAATTCATAAATTACTTTAGCGAAGGGACAATTCGGTCGGGAGTTCATGTATAGTGCGAAAATTCGGTAGGTGCCTGTTTACCTTGAGCCCATACAAGTGCTCCACGTATGATCATCACGACTTCGAAGCAACTGATTTCGTTTGGAATGGGAACTTGGAACATGTGCCCCCCCCCCCGAAGTAACAAAATATACGACGTGTAGACCAAGGGCGTTTCCAACTCCTCGGAAGTCTGAAGCCGGAAACTCCGAATAGGCATTAGGTAGAAGCTTGGGGGACGAAGAGCGAAGCGAGTCAGTAAGCACACTAAAAGATTCGAAGTGTCTGGGCATCCGAAAGTGGGACATGTTGGTGAACAAAACTCCTTTGGTGTGCACACTTTTTGGAGTTCTCCTTATTCGACTGATCAACTCAACACTCTAAGATTGGGTAATTGACCGGTAAACGACTTAATCTGAACAGATTCCATGGCGTCGCATTAAAGCGGGATATCCAGCAAGTACTACTATGTGCTTTTGAATGTCCGTGTTTTGCTAACAGACCGCAACCCCTTCTTTTGTTGGAAAAGGTCAGTTTTGTTGCTTGGGTGAACTGCTGGAAAAAATCCAGTCTGAGAAGGATTTTAGCAACTATGGAATTTGGCTCTGTGATTTCGCTGAATTGTACTTGGAACCGTTACACGACATCGATGATGAGTTAACCAAACTACCGGTTACGGTTCAATTACCTTTGGATGAAACTTTAGTGGACAAGTGAAACTTCCTTCCAAAGGCTGATGACTCATCTGAGTACGTTTGGTTCTGCTGCCACTGGAGGAAGAACATTAGAGGAATAGTTTCCGCTTGGAAAAAACAAAGAATAGCTGGCTTTACATTATACCCTCTGTCAGACGACCTAATAAGAGGGAAACGCTACCCTCAGCTGCATACAACATGGACTACGAGCACTAATTCATTTCAGTTGGCTTATTTTCAACCTTTTTGTGGCAGCAGATCATTGTCCTACCATGGCCTGATGAAAAGAAGTCTTCGGTAGTTCCCCTGAAGAAAATTGCTCTATTCCGGTCCCACTACGGGAAACCTGACCTATCACTGAAGACGAGGCATTCTATGACCCGGTCCTCTAGAGGAGTCCAATGTCTTTGACTCAGCTCGACTGGCTGACTGTCAGTTTAGCAGTTTCTCCATGAGCACAGCTGAAATACCGTCCTGTCACGTCAGTACGTCTATTTGAGCTGGACTCGATTTAGCTGAGAATTCGGCTCTGCCTTACACTCCCAAACATATGTTGAAGCAGTTTACAGTGGAAATTCCGAGCGGGGAGAAGTAAATTTCATGGATGGAACGAAAGGGTGAACAATGAAGCAATATTTATCGAGGTTCCAGTGGTCCACTCTTTTTGCTTTTAAGATAGGGGTAAGTCTTTGTAACCATATATCTTCCTTGGTGGTTCTTATTGAGGTTTGGACAACTGGTGACCTTCATAGGGGGGAGGTCCATCCGTCATGCCGTGCTAGCGCACTTGAATCGTGGGCATGCAGTGGCACTGAATGTCCGTACAAAATGTAAAACTCAATCCAAGGCCCATTAATAATGAAACAGTGATAATCTTTCAGCTGTAACACCATTTCGGTGCTGAGCCGTCGAATAGCCTGAAGGAGGGTCTAGGGTTTAGATGCTATCGGGTTGCCGAAGCCTACACAGGAAGAGTCAAGATTCCACAAGCCTTCCGGTCAGTGAATTCGTGATTTAACCACTTGATTAACTCGGGCTCAGCTCCGTAAATGCTATTACCCCTTGGATACAAATAAGTTCATTATACCAGTGTACATTTCATATGACACTGTTTCTACTAGTCATTGTCCTGAGAGGTAACATCCCGTGGAGGGAATATTTCAGTGAGCCTGAAGATACTTCCTTGAAGAGAGGAACCATGAGGAACCATTTTAAGGCTATTCCTGGATGTTTTTTGGACGACAGTGACGACCCTGACAAACGGGTCTAGTTCTCATGATGAATAATATATACTCGGCGGTTTCATAAGGGTTTCACAAGGGGTAACTATACCATTCTTCGCTATATCCAGTGCTACATCAGGATGATTATAGGTCCAACTAGGTGGCAAGGTTATGGAATAAAGATTTCTTGGATCAGAATTTTTGCTCGCTACGAAATGTGACCTTGACCAATGTCCAAGTTGCTGGTAGCGTTGTCCACGTACCATTCATAATTCACAGCCAAACTGTACGGAATATGCTCTGTCATTAAACGAAGGCATAACTTAAGAATACGCATGTAGATAATCGGTACCATATCCTCAGGAATTCGAGTGGTGTTACATAGATGGACGGACTGATCAGGCACATCCTCCCATAGGATTGTGTGGTATAGCACCTTCTGGTGGTCACCTTGAAGCCGGCCAACTACCACCTCTCTAAGAATAGTGTCACTTTACACTGACAGCATTTACAGGCATGATTCATAGGAAATAACTTGGTCATGGGGACGTTGTGAGCAATCCGTCAGCAGCTTTCAAATAACATATGTGGCAGCCAAATGTCCACTGTTTTTGAAACAGGATGAACGGCTGCACAGGAAATCAAACTACCATACAACGCCAGTGACGATATGCATCAAAATTGATTGTTTGTACGGATCCTTTCCAGGTAAGCCTCGCTAAAAAATTCACCCCCGCCACCCAAAAAAAGATTAGGAAAAAGAGGATATGAAATTTGTACTTTTGGTTTTTGTTGAAGAGGGTGAAATCGGGACAAGTCATTGATAAGTTGCAGGAAAAGGTCCGTTTTTCGGTATCTTTGTTTCTAAACGAACTCACACAAGTAGCTGTCCACTCAGGATCGGTGTGTGCCGCATTGGCGTTTATTCTGCATCTTGCAGACGTGCCAAAGGATTCGATGGTTTGTGTTTGAGCTCCAGTCGTTGGATCTACAAAGTTTTCAGTATGATTAACCGCTTCATGAGTATAATTCATGCCAATCATCACTTCAATTTCTTGATATGATGCCCACATATCGGAGATGATGACTGAGCCGGGAGTGATGCAGGTCTGGATTGTGTCCATCAAAGTGGCCGCAGTTCGATCTGGCACTGCAAAAGCCGCCGGGTGCAAACTTCGCGAAGAAAGTTCTTCCAGTCAACAGCGGTCGTGTGGCTAATAGATAAGTTCTTCTAAGCTGGATTTGATTTTTGCCAAATTTTCGGACTAGCAACAAATGAATAGAATTACTGTCCTAAACTCCATCCTAGACCGCTCGTTTGCTCCACTGTTGCATAAACGTTGTTGGTGGATCACTCCGTGGCTTTGCTGTCTACTTGTCATGAACGAGAGATGAAAGTGTCAGAAAGTTCATTTAAGGTTTTACCTCCGAACGGGAAAATTTTTTCTGCATAAAATGAGCGTGGATGCAGATAAAGAATTGTTTTCATCGAAAACAGGTCGAGGTTGTGTGCGTACATTAAATTGGAGCTGGCAAGAAGTGGTGGGGCTTAGATTTTCGCACATGTACTTTTTGCATTAGTGGCGGGGCTTATCTGGAAGGGATCTGTTTGCACTGCGGCCACCAGAACAAGTAAAGATTGTAATGACAGCGCTCGTTGACGTTAGCTGAAGAACTGTTAACAAGTCCAATCGGACTGGGGAGGCCCAAGTAGTGAAAGACCGTAGAGTGGTTGTCCCAGCAGAACTGACGATGTATTCTGATGGTAGACAACGTCATCTGAAGCTTGTAGTGCACCAAGTGGATGAAGGTGAACCCGACTGACGGCAAACTGGTTGCCAAGATCATACGGTGACGTGAGTGCCGCGGTAGAACCGGCGACTGATTACAGTTTCAGACCAGACAGGTGGTCAGGATGTTGCCGACAAGTGTGGTGCTCCAGGTATGAGTCTGACGTCACATCACGTCGCATCAAGCTTAACACAAGCCTTTGTATCATTTCACCAGTTTTCAGCGTGAAGAGTGTTAGCTGACTGGCCTAACCAATCCATCACTTTTCGGCAGATCACCAAGTTTATGCGTCACTTGAACGAAGTTGAGCCTAATTCGAGGTCACTGAAAAACAAACCTACAGAACCTGGAACCTTAAACTTGAGACCCAGCTGAATCTCTCGTTTATGAGACTCACCCGCGTTCCAGGTGAGCCCTTCCCCTCAAAGCCAGATCGATATGCAAATGAGTGTACTTGTCGAAATCTGTCCGATGCGGGTTCAAGCAGAACAGAAGGTTGGCGGAACTCCATTTTTTTTTATGAAAGACGAAACCGGTCATGGGCTTTCGAAGAATTTTTAGCATTTTTATGTGTAGTGTATCAAACCTTTGAACAATTCTCAGATAAAGAAACGTTTGCTCCTGATCAGGTCATAACAATAAGTCAATTTGCCGGCTTCATCGCGTCCCGGCTTGTCCTTCCGCAATCAGTTCAGGCGTCTTCAGTGAACGGGGCTGAGAAGAAGGAATTGCTATTTTGGAAGATTCGCAAAGTGATCGTTTGAGGGAAGTAATCCTCTACCGAGTTCGTTTTTTCCTTGGTCTGACCAGACGGATGAAACAGAAATCGGCCATCCATATTTGGGTTCAGCTTTCACACTGTTGACTCAAATCACCGAGCGGCCTCCGTTTTCGAATATATGCGCACGGTGTATTTGAGTTCCGCCGCGTTTTGATCCGTCGAAATTCGTTAGAAATCCGATTACTGGCGTGTAGTCCGGATTGTCCTTGATCTCATGGCCATCTTGAAGTTCAAAACAAAAGTTGACAAAAATTAAGAAATATTTCGGATCTCTGAAATCTGTGAGCAAAAGTGTGAAGAGTGTTGAAGTCGCGGTTGATCGGCCTAAGTGGCCGACGGAGCAGACCATGGAAACCTCAATGCGTATGAGGACGCTTTCTGAATGCACAAACTCAGTTGAGGCAAACATGTGGCTAGACATTGATATCAGACGGTGCCTGGTGCACTAGTCTAAATGCCGCATTAGAATTAGTCATGTAACTAGTATCAACCGAGTGAACCAAAGGTACCCTGGTAATTGACACTCTCGAACAGATTTCAGGCTAAACGGTAATGCTGCTTTATTCTCTTGCGTAAACCTCCTGCCACGCGCCCCATGTATTCTGCTGTACTCGAACTCATTCTCTCCTTGAAGATTCGTGAGATGCACATCGCTGCTGACTCCCAATAGGGATGAAGCGGCTGTTGGATTTTCGGTGTACATTGAATTGTTTTACCAGACGAAATCTCCATTGGAAAATTCACGGATCTCCTATTACCAGCGTAATGGAATACCACCAAGTTACATGCTATCAACTTGGCGGAGTTATTGGGCGACGGCTTAGAAAACTTGCCTAGCGTCGTGCTGAGACTGGTGCGGTATTGTAACGAAATTGAAAGCACTTGGCGGACACAACAACGAAGTAACTGCTTTTGGTGTTCACTGTTATGCCATCAAGATCAAGCCGGATAATCTCTTGCAACAGGCCACTGCGTGTTCACTCACCGATTTTCTTTCATAAACACATGCGTAAATATACATAAGAATGGTGCTCCTCATTTCTTCAGTTTTTCTTCCGCACAGCAATATCACCAGAGACCTCGTAATGCGGATGAAGGTAATCTATGCCGAGAAACCAAGAAGACGAAAAGCACTGTTTCATTGTACCTGGCAGTCACGATCATTGTGCGTCTCAGGTGGGGTTTCGGATCTCCGAACTCCCGGCTTACAGTCGAACACTCAACGGTTCATCCAAGAACTGATGACGGGCAATCTGGGTAATTCGGACTTCGACAGAATATAGGCCCGCCCCTCCTTCAATCACGAAATTTAACTCACGTGATCTCGTGCACACTGACAGATTGTTGATAAGGTGCGACTTCTGAGATCGAAGTTCCATGAAACTCGTGAATTATTAATCTTTCTGGGCTATTTGTAGTTTGTTGGAAGTATGTCGAACTATGTACATGCTTACCACCAATCTCTTCCGTTGAGTTTAGTTTTTGTGCGCGGTGGCCATAAAGAAAATTTCAGTTTTCAGCGATATCCCTTTTAGCTTTGATTCGGAAGGCACTCAAAACGCTCTGAAACCCTCAGAATGGAGGTTTGAATTCCCATCTATGAAATATGAATGCAGAATGCAGCGCTTCATCGGCAAACTCATTTTCATCACAATTCTCTGCGTTGCACGGATCGCGCAGAGTGAACCTTGTGAAAAGAGGACTTATCGTCAATAGTTGAGCCGAGAAGTCACCCTAAATTTCACAGTGTCATTGATTGTATGGCACTATTGGTGTCCAGGTCGGCAAATGAATGTCCTTGCTCCGTGGACAACCAAAGCCGCAGTTTTGTGTATGGAAAAAAGTCTATCTACCTGAGTGACTAGGGCACTCTTTTGTCGGAAGCACTTCTCTTTTAAGGCATTCGACCTCTCATATTAGAAACATATCGGAGGTGAAGCCATATTATTTACTCCTTGACAACATGCCCTCTCTGAGGCACTTTCTTGAGCGCACCACTTTACACATTATCTGGGATGCCTTATTGACAACAGGCCTTCAACAACTGAAATGCATATCCGCATGCAATTTTAAGTCATCGTAGGAACTTAAAACCCAGCACTGTGCTAGTGATTTGGGTCTGTGTACGCTATTTTGACGAATTCAGTGCTCTTCTACCGGCCCAGGTATGCCCAGTTTAACATCAAGCATTTATGAATACGTTCTTCTTATCAGACACGATAATTCGGATGCGTCCACCGCGGCCCCCGAGAGTTACGGTGACGCTCGTCTCGTATGTTATAGGTCTGAGGTCCAAAGTCCCGTACGGCTAACGGTACACACTGCTGATGAGACCCAGTAAGAGGGATACTCGAATCTAAACCCCGTGTGTCTAGTATGGACCTACCGAAATAGTTATCTCAGGACTGGATAAAAAATTTGCAAACGAGAATGGTGTGAACACATAGTCTAGATGTCAAATGAAACTGGTCAGACTGCACATCGACTCGGCTGCAGTGTGCCGCGAGTGATATGTAGGTTGCACACAATCTCCATATCAATGGTGCCAATTAAACTGTGCAGTAAAGAATGATGCATTCAGCCAAGAGAATACTTCTGAAAAACGTCATTCTTCTAGAGTTTCCATTTCAGCGTCGTCTGTCGTCCAGGCCGAATTGAGCGGTCGTGTCAAAAGACGTGAAAGAAGGCAGGCACTCACCGCATCCCATTCTAGCCATTTACTTTGCTCTACTGCTCTTAAGCAAGTCTGGATCACGATTTTAGACAGTACATTGATGCCGATCGTATGCATGTAGGCTTTACACGCTGGGCATGGTTCGCACAGTGGCGTCTCATTCGATCGAGAGGTCACGAACTGAACGCAGCTCAATTCCTTCCAAAGGCTTTCGCGCCACATCAGTTGGTGAGCGCATTTTTGTTTGCTCGGCTGATTATGACCAGTTTTTGCGGTCCAGTAATAGCCCCACTCCGTCTTCACACCTGCTTCACAAATGAAACGTGGAACCGGTGTTATCATTTGGATCCCCTGTTCGACAATCAGTTTTCCGGGTGTATCTTAAATATATGATTCAGTGTCTCGTTCATGCATTCAGGAATTCCCCATCCACTCATCCTACCAAATGAGTTCGAGATGGCTCAGTGGTTAGGACGAAAATTGCTAGCTTGAAATGAACCCAGTCGTGGCGTCCCGACTGTTGCTTTCTAGGCTTGTACCACCTGGCAGATGTCAGACGTCGTGCTTGCTTCAGATGGCATGGCAGTTAGACAGCGGAAAAGTGTTAAAGCTGAACGATTATTTTCACTTTTACTACCCTACTAATTCTATTCTGCGTAATCCCCACAGATTACACAAGCACAGCGACTAAATACTGGCTTCTGTTCACCATAATGCCGAAGTGCAGAGTTGATGACCCTCCTCCACACATTTGGAAATAACGCAGAGCTCGGTGACTTTTATAAAAGGGTTGAATTCATGAAGGAATTGTAGCGGTTGTCACATGGAAGCTTGTCGGCTTACAAAAATCTCCCGTCTACGGGATGTTTTGAGCTCAAAACGGGTAAAGCCTGTCACTCAGTCACACCTGGAAAATTGATCAGAACAAACTAACTTCAATATTACCACTAAACTGCTTACGAGCAACTTATACATCCCACATCTTTGATGTTCACAAACTGATTAGGTCACCGACGGCGTGGACATTCATCCGGTGCCATGGCCAATATCTCGTCTACAGTTTACTTGAAATCTTCTGATTTGCTTTGGATTCTAGCGTAGAAACTAAGTCTCCATTCCCACTGGATTTACGCAATACTCCTTTGTAGATGGACCGCCTAAGGGAGCTGCGCTAAAGTGACATTTGCTGGGAGATGATATCTCCTTAGGGAAAGTCACTCCTAAGCATGGTCACTTCAGAGAGGGATAATTATATCCTCTAATCTTACTACACATTCAGTTCATTTCCAAACTGCAAGTGTTAGCAAATAAAACCCCTTTTGGCTGTTTATACATTCCCGGTATCCAGTGAGCTTGAATATCAGTATGGACCGCAGTTTGATGAAGACATTCACTAATTGACTGATCCACTTGGTAATCCGTTCTGCCTAATACCTTAAGCCTCATGATATGTGAGCCTGACATGAGCATGATATGTTAGGCCTCAAGCAGAACGGGTGAGGAAATATTATGATGGCTTCCTTGGGAACGCACCTTTCCAAAACTTCCTGTTATCCTCCAGGTTGTTACGTACCTATGTGAGCAAGTTCTTCGTAGGCCAGTCAAGGATGGATCACTACATGCACAGCCGATTTCGGCTAGATAAACTTCCTGTAGTCGGCCACTATCTAAGGACGTCCACTCTAATGAAAACTCCAACTCAGAAGTCAACAATCATACTGAACTCCAATATAAATATGCATATTCCAGAGGCAAAAGACGACGGGTGATACCTGTGCTATTAAGTAAAAATATTCTTATCAATGGACCACATGAACACATTAGTAGTGAGGACTTACCAAAGCATTCATAGTCAACACAGATACATGAATTTTCCGTCAAAACTCGCAAGTCATCATGATTATTTCCGAACACCAGAGTACTTTCTGTCAATTCCATTCTACCAACCAGTGGACGAGTCGGGTCACTCGGGCGCACGCAATCAACATGGCAGTTAGCCAATCAGCAGGCAGTCCCAATTGCTATTCGTCCATGAAATGACCAATAGGCTCAATCGATCGCTAGTCAACCGGAAAATCAGTATAAATACGGGCACATTTCCTGAGGCTAAAACCCTTGAACATAACAATCAAAGAAAATTAGTAAATCGTCATTATGTCGCCTCTCACACGAATCCTCCTGCAACTTGCCATTGTCCTACTATGCGCCCTAACCACATACTCTGCCGTGATTCGACCCTCACCTGGTCCGGGGAAATATCGAGTCCGACGAGCTGCCTACCCAGATCCTTCATTTCTAAGGGACCATTTTTCACTCTCCAAAGTACCCCGAAGACACACGGCCGAATCGATCGAAGTCGTACCAGACCCGTCCAATATGGATGCACTGTCCGAAGTATGGCGTTCCCGAGAATGCGAATACAAATGCCGGTTGAAGTGTACTACCTACTGTGTTCAATCTTGTCTTTCAATTTGCTGAAGGCACTTTTGCCCAAGCAGAGCGTACTGCAACACCTGCTCCGTATGAACAAGTGTCTGAAAAAACAAGGAAACAGTTCTTTTGTTGCTGTTAATAATATTATTATTACTATTGTAATTATCAGCCTCGCATGGTGCCGTTCACCAGTGCATATCAATTGCCCATCTTATCACCTTATTGTGTACTTAATATATGGTATTCCCGAAAACACGCAGCGTTTTTTGGCGTCCAGGAGACCTATCGGTGTATCTGAGAATAGCTGACCACCCGAAGAAGGTAGATTAAGCGAAGGCTTTGATGTGGACAACCATATGGGAGAAAAGTAGTGAAAATTTCGCGTATTCACCGTATTTGTAGGAGAGATTTGCAAGAGGAGAACCAGCATGTAAAGTGAAGGTTATTGCTGGGCTCAAAATATAAAAGGAATAACTTTTGGATTGGGGCCACGAACCGAATTCGTATGTTTAAATGCCAGACTAATCTAATCACTTGGAGTCCTAACACGCCAAGCGATACCTTGTATGAGGACACGGCTGCAAATTTCTGTAGGAGAAAAAGATCCCCACGTATTTGCAGTCTTTGGCGGAACAGGTTTTTTGAGATGAGATTGTCCGAAACAACCTCGTGTCTAACTGATAACGTCAAATAAAGGCTAAGAAAGTCCAGATTATTCATCCGGAAGTCTGGTCATTAAATGAGTTGTTGTTGTTGGTGGTGTCAGCCAGGTCACTCGTGTCTAACTGATAACGTCAAATAAAGGCTAAGAAAGTCCAGAATATTCATCCGGAAGTTTGGTCATTAAATGAGTTGTTGTTGTTGGTGGTGGTGGTGTCTAGCCAGGTCATCAGAACTGTCCATCGGTTTTCAAACATTTTGCGGTAAAAATTAAGTTGTCAGAGCATCATGCATTTACGTATACTACCATCCCCACATACATCGTAGTGTAATCATGTGCCTCGTGTTTACAAACTTCCGTGCGTGTGCGCTGATACGTTGGCACTCAGTAGATTACCACTTGACTGTGTGCTGGTTGTGAACCATATTTGACGTGTCCGATCACGCAGTGACTGCGTGATATCCGAAAATGAACCTACGCGATGACTGGAAGGTTACCGCAGCCGTAGCGATGGACAGAACCCTGGTGTTCGCTTCATCGGCCAATCATTGCGGCATGGTGTTCTGGATCAATGTTGTCACAACCATGGATCGGTATCCGATAGTTTTGACATTTTTTGATTCAACTTCTCTAGTTGACACTATCCATAAGTGGGCTTGGGTGTGTCTCGTGTAGACACGGCGAAAATTCAGCTCAACCCCCAAATGCAGTGACAGTCTTTATAATATCAAACCAACTAGATCACAAAGCTACGCTTATTTTCACCGTTCACTACTATCTACAGATTGACGTCTCAGAGAAACTCGCGACCGAGTCTCACCCCAGTACTTACTTGCCGCGTTCAGCTAAACAAATCAATTCTTTTGGAGGAAAAAGTAAAAGGGTTGCCAACCTATTTGTTCCCTTTAGCCGTACAGGTGAGAATTAATTACCTGAAACTCAGTCAGCCGGCGACAAGAAAACTGTCGGAAGAAATGACAAGACTGAGGAACATCATTAGAACTGAAAAGACCGTCGATATCTAGTCCGTACTCGTAGGGTTCCAAGAAGTCAATCTACTTGAGAACGTTCACCCTTGGGAAGCTTAGACCTACGTTACCTTTTATGTGCCGCGTTCAGCCTGTTAACCATACTCTCACCGACCCATTTCTAGAAATTTTGAATCCCCTTACACCCCTCTGATGAGATTCAGTAGGGAAGAAAGGTCTTGGTTAACCGTTTTTCAAGATTCGTTCACAGGCTAGAGCATGTCAAAGAAACGGGGTGAACCTAAAGCAACCTCGTTTATTATGGAACATCAGTTCACTACTCCTCAGGATGATCTAGAAGGTTCCGTCCTCTGAGATTCTTTGATTAGTTATCAGACGACTTTGAATACGTCTCTTGGCATTCTATGTGCAGGTAACGCTACCCTCAGTGCAAAAATCATCAGTGTCAAACAACTACAGAAAATTTGAAACTTCCCAAAAATGCATATTCGGATACCGCCAAAATCCCATAATTTTCAGTCACGAGTTTTTTCATTGGGTAAAATAATTTTATGGTGACAGGCCGAGAAGCCCTGTGCAGCTGTTTCATCCTTGCTGTGGATCATTAGCAGGGCACATCTCAAGAATCTCTAGGGAGTTTCGAACTATGAGCTTAACATGGCTTAGTCGTTAAGGTGCGAATTGCTGACCAGAAGTGAACCCAACCTGGGCATCTCGACTGCTCCATTCTAGGCTTGGGGAACATGATATTGAGCCATCGTGCTTCTTTCGGGTAGCATGACAGCTAAGCACCGAAAGGTTGTTATGACTGGACGAATAATCATTTCATGAAGGAAGCTACCCACAAGGTTGCTGAAAACTCTTCGACAGCTCACGAGCAACTGAAACATGAGGCGGCCTGTGTGCAGCATATTCAGTTGTAGAATATCATAAACGAGAGGTTCAGTTGAGTCTCTCGTGAAAACCGAATTTATTTTCAAATGTGTGTATTTCTCGAAAACAGTCCAATTTGCGTTCAATTAGAACATAAGGTTGACGGAGACTCGGGAACTGCGCCTGCATGATGAGCCCCAAGAAGGGCGAAACCGATGGTGGGCTGTGGAAGGGTTTTAAGCAACCTTGTGAGTAGTCTCCTTCATGAAAATATACTGCGATATCTCGAATATCGTACCAACTGTAACATGAGGCGGTTTATGTGCAGCAGACTCAGTTATAGAATATCATTATTCATTTCATTCATTATTTTTACTCGCAAGAAAGCCGCTGAGACTCCGATATTCCATAATCATTCAAAAAGGCTTCAAGAAAAAACTCTAGAAGGTCTTGAAATGTCTCTTTATGTCGAAAATAAGCCCCATGATTGTTGCGTCTTGTACAGCTGCTGGCTTCTCCACTGTCGAAACGACTAGAGAGCAGTTATACCGAAGAAACATGCTTCATAACGGAAGCTTTCCTAGGCTTCATACAAGACAATTAGACGGTTTTCTTTGCGCGCCGGGGAAGACATAAAAACACGCAGCATCATGTTAGTTTGCAGGAAATTGCCGCAACCGCTACATTGCTTGACGGTTAGACCATCAGCTCAGACAAAAGATTAACCGCCAACACAAGGTGATTTTGAATAGAAGACATCCTAAATTTGTTTGCTCTGAAACTCTCGAATACAGTTACCAAGTGTGATGGGGCCACTGTGAGTAGGGTAATCAGTATTCCTCATGGATAAACATTAACTGGCATAGTTTCTCGCAATAATGGATGTCTTTCTTCGATAAATGATAGATATTTCTATCCGTGTATTCGGATCGGTAACGCGCTGACAAACTGAGATGGGCCGGTTACATAAGAGTGCAAATAAGAGTCATATCTATCCTGTTAGGAAAATATGCCCACAACTTCGCCTGTAAAGCTCACCTTCAACCCCTGAAACCAGTGGAGCAATGAACAAAAATACCTATCCCGCAAACCCCCATAACTGCAACCGAAATTCTGCCCAGTGGGTTTCAAGCGTGTGCCACGCTACCTGACTGGAAAGTCCTGACTGGCGGGTCAATCGATCGTCACAACCAGGACAGTTACTGGGTCATCGTTCGATGAGTCGGGCACACCAATCACATTGCTCAAGTGTGAACACGTTCGCCTGATCAGACGTGATAATTCAGATGCGGCCAACGTGCGTTGGTGGAGTAGTGGTTACACGCTCGCCTCACATGCCAGATGTCCGGAGTCCAAATTCCGGCACGGTCATTGGATATGCACTGCTGTTGGGCTCTAAGGATAGCGAAACTCGAGTCCAGTGCTTCCCTTTGGTGTGGACTCACGAATAATAACGAGAGTGGTGTGGCTATGAACAGGAATTCTATTTCATTCGGAGATTCTATTGTAGAATTTATCCTGTCAATAAGGTCACTTCGTGTTTAGAGAAGGGGGATCATTGTAAGTTTGTCTAATCCGTGTTCAGAATAATCAACTGTGTTCACTTTGCAAATCCCTGGGGAGATTAGAACTGGCAACCTTCCAGGCAGTAGTTGACCAGCTTACCGCTTGATCACAAGTTTTGACCAGAATTTGTACTAACTTACTTGTTTACTTTTCCTCAGGAGGCATTTCGAAGAGGTAATGGTGCTCTATCTTCGAATATGTCCTTTCGTTTTTCGCACGTCTTGGTGCACGTGATCATTTTCTCAACTTCCTTAGTCCTTTCCAACTCTGTCTTAGTACCTTCTGACATAGACCCTAAGCAACCGAACAGTTGGCGAAAAACCACCAAACTCATGCTGGAGTTAATTCACCCGTTTTCCTCACCTCAGATTTAGCCAACATCATCACTTTGAAGTGGTCGTAGCGAATACCCGTGATATTATTGTTCACTCCATTTGGTCCTGTGGTGAATTGACTCGGTTGTGAGAAGCGTAGGATGGCAACAGAAGGGAGTACCAAGCCAGAACTGACATGTGTCTTGTCACCCGTGCAGTGTTTGAGTGATCACACTACAGACCATCGAGTAGTATTCGGCCATGCTCAGACTCGTAGCTTGACCCATATTCCCATGATACGGGGATCGATTAGTTTTTGTGTTTGAGTGACCATTCAATAACTACCATTGCTGTGCGAACTATCGAGTTCAGGATAGAAAGTGAGGTTCTTGACCTACCTCTGTCACTGGGATGAAATTTAACAATGATGATCGTGACGAGCTATGCTGTTAGTCGTAGTGCGAGCATGCGTGTTGACCGCAGAGGACAACTTCACAGGAACATATTCAATATGAAACTTCAAAATTGTGTCGCCACCCAGAATCCGTACAAGAGAACTAGAGCAAAGCCACCAATTCTTGGCTTGGGAGAGTTTATGCTGGAAAGAATGAGTATATATA